AGCCGTTTACAAAATGTAAGACATGCTGACTAGGCCAAAACAGTTTTGGGTAAGCAAAACGCGTACCGAACTTTGGTAACTTGCAGCGATACATTCATCTTAATAATGTCTCAAGCAAACACGCAGCTTCCTATGTAGACAAACCTATTCACGATTTTAAACTACGTACATTCATAGGTGAGCAATAGCACGTGTAAGTGCTAATCGTGGAGGCGGATAAGCACATTTTGCGTCTAGAGGACTCAATTACAAAACGGTTCAGAATGGTTTGCATATCACATAGGTCATCACCCAGTAATGAAATGTAATTAGCTTAATCTAAGTAAGTCACTCGTTTCCACTCATAAAGTAAACGACTGTAATTTCAAAAGGATTACACAATAGCGCGTTTGCCAAGCCCAGGCGCCGAATAGACGATGACAGAATTCTGCTAATTTAGTGATACACGCAATACTTGATGAACGTAACCTCCATGACGGAAACCCGACCAGAGATTGAAAAAAAGCCAAGCCTTTCCCTCAGCACTTATACTAATCCCGCATAATGCGATAACGGCAGCGACATACTAAAAGTTTTAAAACGAATGACTTGCAACGCCTAGCGTGCGCTTCGGCGGGACGAGTTTGTTCACAAAACCTTGATGAATCGCATTTCGGAAGTCGCGTAGTTGCACTGCGAGTACCACGCGGTGTAGCTCTCCGCTTGCGTAAGCTAGTATTGGAGACCGTGCCGCGGGTGCCTCAGAGTGCAGAATCATTTAAGGTTTTGGCAACCACTCCTCTTGAAGCTAGGTTGTATTGTCATTGACGGAAGCCGACCTACAGCAATATTGGGGACTTGTGGATTCATTCTGTCGGTCTACGAGAAAGGGTATTAAGGCTTGTGGATGATACATAGGATTCCGCCAATGTCAATTGTTTATTCGCGATTTTGAAATTGTCCAGTTTACTCAGTCGGTATTATCTGGATATGTACATCGCTGCAGACGGCCCGAAGAGGAGGACCGCCGAGTTAATTTTTTGATCCAGTTATGATAAAAGAGAATAAACTTCGATTTCTTGGTGCAGCAGAATCCATCAAATACGGCACCACTAAACTAGTCTGAGCAGTGCAGCTGCCTGCTTAGCTGCCCTCGGCCACCATAAGCACTGTTAGAGAATTGGGAGGTCAACTGCAATGGTGGCTTGTCGATGGATAGTCCGAGGTCCTTGGAGATGGTTGTGATGTCTGAGGCATTGACCAACTACTATTGGGCCGAATGAAAATTGATTAGGATGTTGACGAACGTTCTGCGGGTAGGGGCATTGACCTCGATTGTTGCCAACTAGGCAACGTTTGGGCTTGCGTCGGGTGTGAACTCTTATTTGGACTGCGGTTGAGTAGCAGACCAGTGTTGGCTCTCTTGGTCGACGCGAGATTGCAATAATCATTGCGGAGCCCTTCTCGACCACATCGTCGGGATCGCTGCTGACGTAGGTTGCGGTCTAGGCCGAAACTCCAGCTACCCCAGAATCGGCACGGAGAGGGTGCGGACTTTACTCGGTTGAGTCAAGTGTGTCGTTCGATAGATTGCGTCTTGTGTGCTGAGGCTGCATGAACAAAATCAAGTGCAGTAGTGTACTGGATCGTCGCAGCACCGTGCTTGAGGTTAATTAACTCTTCTAAGACGTCGGACATTTTCTGGCGCGTAACCACGCGGTCCCACTGCGCAATGGACGAGAGGCGCGTTCGGAAGTCTTAATCGTGGACAGTCTAGAAGCTAGAGATGAAGACTATTGGTAGAAGTATTTGATAAAGTTATCAATGGGAAGGGAAGATGAGATTGGTTGCAAAGAGTAATAGATGGGGTTGAAAACAGGACCACAAGTATGGGCGTTTCGCGGAGTCCACTTAGTCAGAGCTTCTTTGTTAATTAATATTATTATTATCTGGCCGCAGGCCGGAGTGTATCATTGGTGGGCAGTCGGTGCGGGCTCGACGGACTGCAAACTACTGGCGAGTCCTGAAAAAGGCCGACCGAAAGGTTCTTCTGCTGCTCACACAACGGTGCGCTCGGGAGATTTCACCTACACCACTGCACCCCTGTCAATGAGGAAAGCAACTCATCCCAAAAATAAATTCGAGCAACATTATTGACACGGCGCAGCCAAGCTCTTGGGAACTGATCTGGTTGTTGCCGTCCACGACCAAGTGCAACTGGTTTTTGCTTGAATCAGGGGGCTTATCCCTTCTTATGTTCCTAATGTCCTCTATTCAACCACAATGTCAACACACAAAAGGTGAGAAGACAAACAAATACTGATGAAACATGTATCTCCGGGAGAAAAAGTCCGGAGCAGTTGAACGTAGTACAGTGGGAAGGAAAGAGCTTCACAGTCCAGGATAGGATCAGCGGCGAGCTGAAATGGAGGAAAAGGTAGTTGTAGTTAATCAACTTAAATGTCAACAAAGGGAATGGATTCGTTTGGACGTAGTCCTCATAACATCACTTCCTGGGATTGGATGTTCGTTTGATTGCTGTCGTCGATCCAGCTGTTTAGACACCCGCTGACGTTTGATTCGATCAGTCCATCTTCTATGCGTGTAATCGACTAAAGTGATTGGAGGAGTGATTTATCCCTGGGTTTCAGACCTTTGTGGGAGCTCATTAGTATTCAGGAGAGTGTCAATTGGAAGGTCTGGGTCGTGTGGTGTTATTTGACAGGGGGACGAATGCAACTGATTAGCACGGCATACCCATGTTGAGGAGTGTATATTGTTGGATGGAGTGTAGCGCCCAAAAAGATAACTGCTATCTTTCATGTAACATTTAATGGTTGACCAATTGTACATTATCCCTTCTTGTTTTAATCTTCCTTACCACCGGCTCGACACTCGAACGCCCTGAAAGTTTTCGCGCTCACATGTTCGCTCTTGTCTCGTTTAATCCGTCCGCGTCTGTTGTAGCCCATCGAATAAAGTCCGCTGTGTCCGACACCAATTGACTTATGATATCCGCACTTTATTTCGCGCACCGTATCGGACTGGTATTAACTAGTCCTACAGGAGCCTGGGATACTAGTCGGTAAGGAATGACACGTAAGAGACGTGTATAGAAGCTGGAGACGACAGAACTCAACGTATATTGCACAGGCTACAAAAATAGGAAGCGAATCAGCCAGAGCGAGGAAGGGTGCAGCAAGGTACTCACCAAAACGCTTTGTGTCAACGGATGTGCAGTCAGTAAAACAAATGGACGTTTTGAAGGTTAAAACAATCGTAAAATCCAACGTTGCAAAATACTGAAAGAGCGTGTTTTCCGGTACACTACAAAGATCTTCCCCTAGAAGGCTGAAGGATGGAAGCCTTCGATGGAGCTGTTAGTGGGGGAAAACTGAAGGTGAGGATGGATGCGAATAGTTGCATGGGCTTGAGCAAGGGCTTACAAGATGCGGTGTGTAGCAGAGTTCGCTGGGTCCAGGCGTTGGTTAGTTATTAGTTATGATGATCGTGTGTACCAGAGTGCATCATCGGTGGGTCGTCGGGGCGGGCTGGTCAGACTGCAACAAAACTGGCTAGTCCAGCACAAAGGCCAACAGGACCTTCCCTTTGCTGCAGACCCGACGGTGCGCTTGGGAGGTGTCACTCCCGCCACCGCACTTCAGTCCACGGTCCTCATCCCACGAAGAAATCCAGGCGTCCTCGTCCTAGGAAGAAATCGAGCGTCATCGTCGGCAACGCCTAGCCAGGCGTTTTTGGACCAACCCGTTCCTGGCTCTCTGCGGCCGAAGGCGACTGACTGTTCCTTGGGTGAGGAAGGGGGCCTTGGGTCGGCTGGCGAGTCAAGCGGGGGTTGCGGTGAGCCGGTTGGCGAGTCACTCGAGAGTTGCCTTGGCAGTTCCGGTGGTTGAGTTTCTGGAAGGTAGAACTCAGAGGAGGTGGGCAAGGGTCGGTGGAAGTGGCTTGACGCCAGAGAGGGTACATGGCATGCATGATAAAAGCAAATACGCTTTTAAGGTTTTCAAAATGTTTTGGGTTTTTTGTCGATTTCTCATAATGTTTGTGGATATGACGTACGATAAACACTAAAGACCAAAATCGGCGTGTTAATTGAAATAGCAAACGTTTACAAAATTTGAAAACCCGGACCGGACGTTTGACCTGTCTACCGCGTCGGTCGGTTGCCTGGGGTTGAGGCGGGGTAGGTTGAGGGTCAAGGGGAACGGAGGGTTTCGGGATATCCAGTGCTCGGGAAGTCACCACAGGTGCGGGTGCTTGTGTGATAGCATCGGGATGGGTTGCAAGTGGTTCGTCAAAGAAAGCCACTTTGAGGCGGTCGATGGACACCGTTGTTCGGTGACCATTCTGGTCTAAAGTGAAATGTTTCGGAGTCCATTGCAAAACTCTGAAAGGGCCAGTGTAGGGAGGCTGGAGAGGGCGCCGCACTGCGTCGGTGAGGAGGAAGAGGTGAGGGCAAAGAGAGAGTCCGCTATGCATTTGCACACCTTCAGTCTGTTCACGGGGCGGAGGCGGGCGTAGTGAACGCATACGTTGAGCTAGGGAGGACCCAAAGTTAGGCGGAGGCATACCCGACGATGTGGGAGGTGAAACGAATTCTCCTGGTAACCTTAGCGTTGTGCCGTAAACCAGCTCTACTGGTGCACATTGCAAGTCAGCTTTGATGCAGCTACGAATACCTAAGAGAACGAGCGAAACGTTTTCGCTCCAGCTAGGGTCGGAAGAGGTGCAGAGCGAGGCTTTCACCTGTCTATGGAACCGTTCAACTAACCTGTTGGCTGCTGGGTGATACGCTGTGGTATGAATACGGTGGCAGCCTAAGAAGTTGCAGAACATATCGAATTGTGAAGATTCGAAAGGCGTTCCTCGGTCAGTTGTGATGGTGCATGGGCATCCGTAGTGCGAGACCCACCGATGTAAGAAGGCCCGGATAACAGTCCCAGCTGTGCAATCTTTTACGGGAATGGCTTCTGGCCATCTGGTGAAGCGGTCGACACATTTAAGAATGTATGCGAATCCGCGTGGCGGTGGCAAGGGACCTACCAGGTCTACGTGTACATGCGAGAACCGAGAGTCCGGGGCAGGAAATGAACCAAGAGGACTGCGGGTGTGACGATGTATTTTGAAGCGCTGGCATTGAAGGCACGCACGAGCCCAGGTACGAACATCTTTGTTTACACGTCACCAAACGAAACGTTCAGTGACCAGTTTCAAAAATGCACGGATACCGGGATGTGGTAGTGAGTGCAGTGCGTCAGAGACTGTGCGTCTGAAAAAGACGGGCACGAGGGGTCTAGGACAACCTGTGGAAGTGTCAAAGAAAATGGTTCCTTCCGTGATTTGGAGAGGAACAGGTTGCACATACAACGAAGTGAACTGCAGTATGCGTTGTATGTCTTCGTCTTGAGCCTGAGCTGATACCATGGCAGCAAGGTCGACGGTAGGCGAAACCTGGAGAGTGAGGTTGACGCGTGGGAGAGCGTCGGCAACGGGATTGTCGACACCTGAGACATGACGTATGTCAGCAGTGAACTGCGTGACCAAGTCTAGGTGTCTTGTTTCCTGTGGCGAATATTTGTCGCAATCAGAGTCGAAGGCGAAGATGAGGGGCTTGTGGTCAGTGTAGACCATGAAAGCGCGGCCTTCAAGTGTGTGCCGTATGTGACGAATGGCTAGGTAAATGGCGAGCAGTTCTCTGCCAGATGTGCTGTAGCGGGATTCTGCTGGCTGCAGGCGCTTGGAGAAGTACCCAAGGGGTTGCCATTGTTCACCAACATGTTGGAGAACGGCTCCTACCGCGACGTCTGAGGCATCAGTCGTAATAGAAAGGCGTGGAGTCGATTCGGAATGCACGAGGAGGGCTATGTTAGAGATAGCATCCTTGATCTCGGCGAAGGCTGTCTGTGCTGTGTCAGGGAAATCGAATTTACGTTCATTCCCTCTGACTAGGTCAGTCAGAGGCCGCATGAGCTGAGCGCAGAGCGGAATGAAGCGTCGATAGTAGTTGACCAAACCACAACATCGACGGAGGTGCTTGAACGAACTCGGAGCTAGGAAGTCCTTGATTACCTGGATTTTGTCAGGAAGGACTTCGATACCCAGACAATGAAACGAGCTGGCCTAGGAATCCTACCGTTGATTTGCCGAGTTCGCACTTAGTCGGGTTGACTGTGACACCGTGTTGGGTGAAGCTCTGGAATAGAGTTCGAGGATGCTCGAGGTGCTCTTGTTTCGATGAACTGGCGACTAAAATATCATCGAGGTAGGAATAAGCGTAGTCTAGGCCATGTGTGACATCGTGGATAAAATGTTGGAAGGTTTGTGCGGCGTTGCACAGTCCAAATGGCATGTTTAAAACTTCAAACAAGCCGAAAGGAGTGATGATTGCTGTTTTAAGAATGTCATTGTCTTCCACAGGTATCTGGTGATAGGCGCAAACCAGATTGAGCTTGCTGAAGATCATCTTACCTGTGAGGCATGCAGTAAGGTCCTGCATGAGTGGTATAGGATTCCTATCTGAGACGGTTAGCCAATTGAGTGCGCAGTAATCATCCCAAGGGCGCCAGTCACCAGATTTCTTGGGGACCATCTGCAGGGGCGAGGACCAAGGGCTGTCGGAAGGGCGAATTATTCCAAGTTCAAGCATGTGCTCAAACTCCGCCCTAGCTACCTTTATTTTCTCGGGCGATAGTCAGGGTGGACGGCATGCGACGGGTGTGCCATTCCTCCGTATGTGGTGCGTGAGTTGGGATGCCACGGGCAAAGCTGCGTTCATTGACTGTACGAGCTTGAAATACTGAGAAAAGAGGCTGACGTAATCTGGCGAGGTTTGAGGAAAGGCGTAGACCAGAGATATAGATGCGATATTGGCGGTAATGTCACGTACACTGAGTTTCGTTACAGTGTCGACTAACATCTCGCGTTTCGCATCGACCAAGAGGTCGAAATGCCTGAGAAAGTCAATGCCGATGATGGCAAAGGGGACTGCAGCCACGGTGAATACCCAGCGGAACGTGCGCCGAAGACCTAGATCCAGGGTAAGCGACCGATGACCGTAGGTGGCTATTGGCGTGCCATTGGCAGCACTGAGGCTTGTCGACAAAGAAGCGAGAGGCTGGCCTTGTGTAAGGGGAATAACGCGGACCTCCGCCCCGGTATCAACTAAGTACTGGATCTCTGAGTCATAATCCCTAATGTGGATGAGACGGCTTTGGGGTTTTCCGACACCGTTAGTCGCCATTACGGACCGGACTGAAAGTTTCCCTGCTTGGCGGCGGAGAAACTGTTTGGTTGCTCGCACTTACGGGTTTTGTTACCAAAACGCGAGTGCTAAAAGCAAAAGCCAGAATTGTTAGGCTTCGTACGACGAGGTGATGAGCTAGAGCGGCTGCGCTACTTACGATCTAGGGAGAGTTCCTCAGTTTGGCGTTGTTGCACCTGTCGCAACAAGGCTGAAGACATCCAGTCCCCTAGCTGCAGATCCCTAAACAGCTGCAGTCGAACCTTGTCATAGTGAGTGATTCGGTGAACAATAGCCTGTTTAATGGTCTCGTGTTTCATAACTAGAATGGGGCAGAATATGATGTCTCTCGCTTGCGAGTATATACTCTGAGGTAGGCGAGATATTAGCTGATTATACAGGGCGAAATTAGAAAATATCCTACGAAAGTCAATAAAGGATTCTTAGTGCAGAAGCCACGAAAACGCATCATTCTCCCAAATAGGTGGAGGGTTTAATGCAGCAGAATTGACCATGACAGGCTCAACTGCGCTAACCGCGTACTGAGATTGCTCATCCTCTAGATTATCCATGGAAAAAAGCAGATAAAAAATGTTTGAGGTGAGCAAACAATATGATCACAAAATCAATGGAACGAGCTCACCAGAATGAAAATTCAAAATGGTCGTCGACGTGCTCTGGAGTGGGGTCACCAATTGTTGAGTGTAGCCTGGGATACTAGTCGGTAAGGAATGACACGTAAGAGACGTGTATAGAAGCTGGAGACGACAGAACTCAACGTATATTGCACAGGCTACAAAAATAGGAAGCGAATCAGCCAGAGCGAGGAAGGGTGTAGCAAGGTACTCACCAAAACGCTTTGTGTCAACGGATGTGCAGTCAGTAAAACAAATGGACGTTTTGAAGGTTAAAACAATCGTAAAATCCAATGTTGCAAAATACTGAAAGAGCGTGTTTCCCGGTACCCTACGGGCTACAAGAAGACGCGGACGGATGAAGCAAGACACGAGGTACACTTTAGCGCGGGAGCTTACAAGGTGGCGAAGTGTCGAGCCGGTTGTAAAGAAGATTAAAACAAGAAAGAATAATGTACAATTGGTCAACAATTAAATAGTGCATAAAAGATAGCAGTTATCTTTTTGGGCGCTACACGTCTCACCAGGTAGTCTTAGGATCGCGCCAAACAGCAGTTCTGCAGAGCAGCACCCATTGTCCTCTTTACTTGTATTGCGAATGCCAAGAAGGATCGCGTGGAGACGCTCAGACCAGCTAGAGTTGGATGAACTAGACATGATGACAGCTTTTAATTGTCGATGAAAACGCTCGACGAGCTCATTGGCAACAGGTGATACGCGGTTGTTCTTATGTGATTGCAGCCTAATAACCGATTCAGATCACGGGACAGTGTGCAACTGACCTGAGTCCCTCTGTCGGTAGTGATGGTGGATGGAACGCCAAACGGAGAAATCCAAGATTCGACAAAAGCACGGGAAACAGATACGGTAGATGTATCACGTAAAGAAACAGCTTGTGGCCAACGGGTAAAGCAGTCAACACATGTTAGAAGATGAGTGGAACTGTTGGAAGGAGGTAAAGGGCCAACAATATCTACGTGAACGTGTCTAAAACGTGGTTCAGGAAGTGAAAATGTACCTGGAGTAGTGACTGTGTGACGGTGAACTTTACTGCTTTGGCACCTAAGACAATGTGTAGCCCAATGTCTAATGTCTGAACGCCTATTGTGGCAGAGGAAGCGGTCGGTAATGAGCTTAACGGGGGAACGGATACTTGGGTGTGAAAGATCAGGTAAATGATCAAACATGGCTCGACAAAATGATCACGAGACAGAGGGTCCACTCTTGCCGGTTGAAAGGTCACAGTAAACTCTTATGTCAGAGTTAAGTACGAGCAGCTGTGTGACCTTCATTGAGGGGTTTGATTGACGTTGGACAAGCTCAGGACCGTTGTTTTGAGCGGCCGCTATTCTCTCCAAGTCGATGGGTGTCGATGACAATTGATTAGTATGAGCACAGGACAGTGCATCGACAACAGCGTTGTTAGGAGCGTCAATATAACGGACATCAACACAGAACTGCGAAAGATAGTCCAGATGACGCGTTTCTCGGGGTGAGTAACGGTCTGAGGCAGAACGGAAAGCGTACACCAGTGGCTTGTGATCTGTCAAGAGTATGGAACCACGTCCTTCTATAAGGTGACAGAAATGTTTCACAGCCAATACATGGCGAGCAGTTCACGACCAAAAGTGCTGTAACTGACCGGAGCAGGTTGTAGCTTCCGTGAGATAAAGGACAGTGTTTGCAATTCGTTGTCAACTAACTGTTGCAAAACTGCACTGACAGCGGAACTTGAAGCATCCGTCTTAAGGACAAGTGTAGCGTCCTCGGTGGTGTTCAAGTGATGGAGCGATGTGACCTCGCTAAACTTCTGCTTGACGGCGGTGAAGGTGGCTTCAACTTCTGGGGTTATCTTGAATGTCTTTGAGTTTTCCTTCAGTAACTCGGTAAGCGGATGAAGTAAGTCAGCACATTTGGTATTGAATCTGCCGTAGAAGTTCATCATACCGAGAAATCTGCGGAGGCTTCAGATAGCTTGATTTATTCGGATAGTCGAGGATCGCTTGGGATTTATACTGGAGAGGTTTAATACCTTCGCTATCGATCCGGTGACCCAGAACTTCGATGGTGGACTGACCAAACATGCGTTTGTCCGGACTGATAGTTATACCGTGGTTTTCAAAGCGTTCGAAAACCATTCGGAGGTGTGATAAATGCTCGTCAGGTGTGGCGCTTGCGATCAAAACATCGTCAATGTAAACGTAGACGAAATCAAGGCCACGGAGGACCTGATCCATAAAGCGTTGGAAAGACTGTGCTGCGTTCCGGAGGCCGAAAGGCATACGAAGAAATTCGTAAAGGCCAAATGGAGTGATCACAGCAGTTTTTGCGATGTCTTCCTCCGCCATTGGGATTTGATGGTAAGCTCTGACTAGGTCGAGTTTGGTAAAGATTGACTTTCCGGCTAGTCCAAGAGAGAAATCGTGGATATGGGGGATAGGATACCTATCCGGAACAGTGACGTTGTTGAGAGCACGGTAGTCACCGCATGGTCGCCAATCGCCTGACTTTTTAGACACCAGATGGAGAGGTGATGCCCAGCAGCTGTTTGAAGGACGAACGATGCCGAGATCAAGCATGTGTTGGAATTCCTTTATAGCTGCCTGAAGTTTGTCCGAGCGCAAGCGTCGAGGTTTAACAGTTACTGGTGGACCGGCTGTAACGACGTGATGGTGTACATCGTGTTTAGGGTCAGAAGTATCGTTCCTAGCTCGAATTAGCGACGGAAATTGTCGGAGCAATGTACAGTACTGTGGATTGTCGGGTATGAGAATTCGAAGCTCGAAGGGATTGACTGAAGCAAGTTTGCAAGGTATGCTTAAAGATATAGTTTCGTCTTGTAATTTCCCACAACGTGGGTCGACCACAAGACCGAACTTGCTGAGGAAATGGATTCCGATGGTGGGCTTTTGCACACCGGCAATG